AGAGAATCCGACGGGAGCACGGGCCGTGTGAGGGGTGTGTCACAATGGGCGGGGGGGACGCATGCAAACGTGGCCACTGGGGTCTTACAAGTCTCGCGTCGCAAATAACGTGACAAATTAGTAGGCCCGACTCGAGGGATTGCCCCGCACGGGTCACCACATATGTCTTACCCCTCAACCTCCGCCCAATTTCCCTCCGCTACCCCCTGTTTTTCTTCCTCCTCCTCCTCCAGCTTTCATCCATCCACCCTCCTGCCATGCAGCTTCCTTCCATCCCCCTCCAGCTTTCATCCATCAACCCTCCATCCGGCCATCCAGCGCCCATCCATGCAGTGTCCCTCCAGCTGCCCGCCACCCGTCCAAACATCCGCCCCTTTATCCGTCGTCCTATCCGCCACCCTTCTTCCAGCCAGCCTCATTCCAACCAGAGTCCATCCATCCATCCTCCATCAAGCCTCCCTCTTCCCACCCCCACTCCTCCCTCCATCCAACGCGCATCCATTCGCCCTCCCTCCTTCCTACCTCATTCCATCAATCCGTGCACCAATACATCATGGGCGCCTCCATCCCTCCTTCGACCCGTAGTCACGTCAAGGCAGATTGTATCCTCATCCCCTGTATCCTCCCATCCTTTTCCGTCCACCTCCTCCTCTCCTCATCCTGCCTCTTCCTCCTCCCTCCTCGTCGTCCTCGTCATATGTGTCGTCGTCGTCCTCCTCCTCCTCCTCCTCCTCCTCCTCCTCCTCCTCCTCCTCCTCTTGCTCCTCTTCTTCCTTGTCAGAATCATCATCGGCATCATGATGAGCATAAGCATTAGCAGCAGCAACATCAGCACCAGCATCATCAAACTCGTCATCGCTGTTTGGTCGGGAATTGCGTGTCGGCTTTCTGGCGAGGAAACGCCTGCCTGCTCTCCACGCGGTCCGCTGGCTCTCCGACGACTGCCTGGTAGAGAAATGCATGCGACTGTCTGGTAGGGAATTGCGTGCCAGCTGTCTGGTATGGAAACGCCTGCTGGCCCTCTGACAGTCTGGTAGGGAGGCATCAAGGTGGGCTTGCCCCCCCCCCCCCCCCCGTCGCCAAAGTTTACGCAAAACCTGAGCTTGGGCAGACGCTGGCGACCCACGCGCCCTCAACTTTGGGAGGGGGAGGGGGGGGGCGGAAGTTGCGCCCCTCGTCTTGGGCGGCGCCTCTCGACTTGGGCGGCGCGGGCGGGAGGGGGAGGGGGAGGAGGAGGGGGGGAGGGGGAGGGGAGGAGGAGGAGGAGGAGGAGGAGGAGGAGGAGGAGGAAGAGGCGGAGGACGAGTGCAAACCCAATGCGTATCAAAGACATTGCAATCCACCTTCCCTACGAGGTTCTTTATAGCATAGGCCCCATACAAGGGGCCATCTGCGCCGGGGGACGACCCCCCCGTGGGAAGACGACCGTCCCGGGATGCCAGCGCCACGAACCACAGTCACTATTGCGATTCCGCGATCCTGCATCGTGTCGCAACACCACTCGTGGGACTCAAACGTAAAAGAAGAATTCTGGACGCTTCGCGCATCCCCGCCAGCCCAGTGCGCTTTTCAACTTTGGCGGGGAGGGGGTCGTCATACGTGCCCCTCCAGTTTGAAGGGCCTGGCCGCCCAGCGCGGTGTCAATTTAATTGCGACGCGGCTTGTAGGTGGAGTTCGCTATGGGGCCATGAAACGTGTGAGGGGTGCTCGGTGGAGCTCCATACGGAGTCGCGAAGCGCGCGAGGGGTGTGCCGAATGTGTTGACATGTGGAGGGCAGAAGCAGGGATAGGAGGAGGGAGGAGGGGGGAGTAAGGTGAGACGCGGGGCGTTGTCTGCTCAAAGCGAGGACCCCGAACCACAGGATGGTTGAGAATATGAATTAGGAGCAATTGCGTCAACGTAAACTCTCGACAGTCCACGCGGAATTCTCGGATCGGCGCTTGGCCCCCTTGGCGACGCCTTTGGCGGCTCATCTGAAGGAGGGGGCTGCCGCGCTGGCGGGGCGCCTGGATGACGCCGACCCTGTCGTGCGCGAGATCGCCGCGGAGGCAATGGGACGGACGCTGCAGCCCATGGAGGCGGAGCACGCTCAGCAGTTGGCGGCAAGGCTGAGCGACTCCGAGATCCTCGTCCGCCGCGCGGCCGCGACCAGCCTCGGGAGGGTGCCAGCCGAGGTGGGCAGGCCCGTCGCCGCCGACCTCGCCGCGCTCCTCGGCGATGAGGACGCCTGGGTGCGGGCCCGCGCGGCCGAGTCCCTGGGCAGGCTGGGCCAGGCGGCCGAGGCGCACGCGCCGCAGCTCGCGGCCCTGCTCGAAGGGCGCGAGGGTTGGGGCGAAGGGCAGTACGCGCCGCGGGCCTCCAGCCAGGCGTGGGGCTGGCAGTTCGCCGCCGAGGCCCTGCGCCGGTGCGGCAGGGCCGAACCCGGGCACGCTGCGCTGCTGGCCGCGCACCTGGCAGATCCCGACGCCCCCGTGAGGGTCGCGGCCGCGGCGGCGCTGGGCAAGCTGGGCTGCACAGCGGCGGCGGCACAGCTGCAGGACCTGGCCGGGCTCCTCCAGGACCCGAGGTGGGGACAAACGGCAAAGCACCCCGACCCCCTCATAATTTACGCTTGCCTTCCTGGGCGGCGGCGAAGGGCAGTCCTGCCCTGTCCTGTCCCTTCTTGAGGCTCATTTGCCAAACGGCTTCGTTTATTGGGGCGCTTCTCGTCAGAGTGGTTTCTCTGCTGTCTCAGGACCCCGACGAGAGGGTCCGCCGCGCTACCTCCCAGGCCCTCGGCGAGGCCGGCGGCGGCTCGGCTCCCGCCGCGGCGGCGCTGGCTTCGACGCTGGCGGAGGACGCTTGCGCCGTCGTGCGCGCCGCGGCGGCCACGGCGCTCGGCGCCTTCGGCGAGAGTGCGGCGGAGCACGCCGACGCCGTGGCGAAGGCGTTGGAGGACCCCGACGGCGCCGTGCGCCAGGCGGCGGCGGCCGCGCTGCCGCTCCTGGGCGCCGAGGGGCTCGCGAAGTCCCCGCTGCTGGCGCAGCTCCTCGGGGACGAACGGGCCAGCGTGCGGGAGGCGGCGTACGCCGAGCTCGTGCGCTGCGGGGCCGCCGGTGGAGCGGTGACCCTCGCCGGCGTGGCCCGGGACAGCAGCAGGCCCGTCGCGGTCCGCCGGGTCGCCGCCCAGGGGCTCGCAGAGCTGGGCGCCGCCGCGGCCGAGCAGGCGGACGCGTTGGCCGGGCTGCTGCTGGTGCCCGACTCGGCGCTGCGCGAGAGCGCCGTCCGGGGCCTGGCCAAGATGGGCCCGCGGGGCGTGACGGAGCTGGAGCGGCTACTTCAGCACTCGAGCGAGCAGGGCAGGTGCGCCGCCTGCCAGGTGCTGGGCAGCATGGGCCCGGCGGCGGGGGCCTCCGCGGGCGCCCTCGCCCTGCGCCTGGACGACCACAGCCCGCTGGTGCGCCGCACGGCCGCCACGGCGCTCGGGCGCCTCGGGGACGCCGCCGCGCCGCAGCTGCCCCGGCTGGCGGCGCTGCTGGAGGCGCACGACGCGCTCCTCTTCAAGAGCGTGCTGGACGTCCTCGGCGGCCTGGGCAGGCACGTTGACGGCACCAACCATGCCCCCTGGAGATCCGACGACGCACCAAAAGTGCAACATCGTGGGGAAAGTCATTACTAGGCTCTGGGCCCCCATCTGTCTGCGGCATTTTTCGATCCGGATCGATCTGCGGGGGTCCAGGGGCCTGACATGGAGCGAAGTTGCCCGCCGCGGAAAGAGTGCCAGAATGCGCGCACGCGCAGGAGCGTGCATCGAGCTGGCCTCGCACACGTTCTCTTGTGCCGTCCGAGGCACGCCGGCAAGCACGCCAAGGCCGTGGCGTTCCGCCTGGACGCCGCCGGCGACGAGGTTCGGGGGCAACGACGGGGAGGAGATAGGCTCAGGTAAGCATGCATCGACCCCCAATCGCCCACTCATCGCTGATGGGGTCCCGATGGCCCACCCCGCCCAGGAACTGGGGGAACGAAGAATGACTTAAACATAAAGACTCGGAGGTCCGCGCGGATTTCTCGGACTGACGTTGGACCCCCCTCCCTGGTGCGCGGAGCGCGCCAGGGGCGGCGCCGGAGGCGCCGCCAAGGGGGACCAGCGCCGATCCGCGAAATCAGCGCGGACCTCCGAATTTTGATGCTTACATCATTGTTTGTTTCTCCAGGATCGCTCGGTCTCGCTATCGCGGGCATATCGTCGATCTCCGAGGGCTCTCGGCGGGACGATGAGGAGGAGGAGGAGGAGGAGGAGGAGGAGGAGGAGGAGGAGGAGAGGAGGAGGAGGAGGAGGAGGAGGAGAGGAGGAGGAGGAGGAGGAGGAGGAGGAGGAGAGGAGGAGGAGGAGGGGGAGGAGGAGGAGAGGAGAGGAGGAGGAGGAGGAGGGAGAGGGGATGGAGGAGGGAGGAGGGAGGAGGGAGGAGGGAGGAGGGAGGAGGGAGGGAGAGGGGAGGAGGGAGGAGGGAGGAGGGAGAGGGAGGAGGGAGGAGGGAGGAGGGGAGGGAGGAGAGGAGGGAGGAGGGAGGAGGGAGGAGGGAGGAGGGAGGAGGGAGAGGAGGAGGAGGGAGGAGGGAGGAGGAGGAGGAGGAGGAGGAGGATGGAGGAGGAGGAGGAGGAGGAGGAGGAGGAGGAGAGGAGGAGGAGGAGGAGGAGGAAGGAGGAGGAGGAGGAGGAGGAGGAGGAGGAGGAGGAGGAGGAGGAGGGAGGAGGAGGAGGAGGAGGAGGAGGAGGAGGAGGGAGGAGGATCTCTCGGCGATGTGTCGCCGATGAGGTGCGGCAGAGCGCGGCCCACGCGCTGGGCACCCTCGGCGAGGCCGCAGCTGGCCACGCCCCCGACCTGGCTCGCGCGCTGCTCGACCGCGAGCCGATGGTCCGGGCCAACTCGGCCTGGGCCCTCGGCAGGTGCTCAGGGGGGGCAAGCGGTCGCGGGAGTCCGCGCTGATTTCTCGGATCGGCGCTCTGAGGCCCCTTGGCTGGCGGCGCCACCGGCGCCGCCCCTGGCGCGCTCCGCGCACCAGGGAGGGGGGTCCAACGCCGGTCCGAGAAATCCGCGCGGGCCTCCGAATTTTGTATGTTTATGTCCCTCTGCGTTCCCCTAAAGGAGTCGCGGGAGTGATGCGGTCAGGGGATTTGGCTTAGCGTGTTGTTCCGCCGGGTCTGGCTCACTACGCTTCGGCGCGGCACGCTATCCACGTTCCAGTCCCTGGGCGTCCACGTCCCGGGTTCTTCCGAGTCTCCCGCCCCGCGGAGCGGAGCGGCACGCCATCCGCTTGCAGGGCAAAGTGTCGCCAGGGCCGCCGCCGCGACACGCTTTACGCAAAAGTTTCCGACCGTAGAGTTTCGCTATAGAGGCTTCGAATAGAGCTTCGGCGTTCAGCAGCGACTGCAGAAGAGTCCCACCGTAGGGACGGGGAGCCCATGATTACATCCGCAGACTGTTTGGTCCGGCAGTCGTTTCGCCGGCGAGAAATCGTGCTCTCGCCGCAGTGCCAGCTAATCACAGCTTCGGTCCAGACGGCCGCGAACCCTGGTAATAAAATACACTGGGGTGCACATGGCCGTGCTCTCGCCCCCGGGCTGGCGTGGGCCCGGGCCCAGTGCGCCCCCGACGGAGGAGGCCCGCCTCCTGTTGATTCCTCCCCCCCACCCTCCGCCTCCCCCTCTTCCTCCCTCTCCCCCTCCCCCTCCTCCTCCGCCTCCTCCTCCTCCTCCTCATCCTCCTCCTCCCCCTCCCCCTCCTCCTCTTCCTCCTCCTCCTCCTCCTCCTTCTCCCTCCTCCGCCTCCTCCTCCTCCTCCTTCTCCTCCTCCTCCTCCTCTTCCTCCTCCCCCCCCTGGGCGCGCCGCCGAGTCACATTATGGCATCAGCCTCGCTCCCCAGACCCCCGACGTCATGATTTCTTCACAGCGTAAAACCCCCAGAGGTCTCGAACCTTACCCCGGGACTGGTTCCTCACCCTCACCACCCACCAAGCCACCCCAACCCAACCCGAAGGCTTCAATTTGCCCTCCATTTCCAGTGGGGCGGTCGGGGAACATTGCAAAAACAGATGGAGCCCGTACCCCCCCAACCCGAAATTCGGGTCAACTCCGGGTCTTCGGGTTGGGTTGGAGTTTTGTCTGGTAGTCACACCCTGGGTCGTTTTTTGACGGCCCCGAGGCCGGTTGAGGGCCCCCGGAGGCCGGAACATAGCGACCTGCCTCGCGTCGTGATTCTCCCCTGGCTCGAGGGCGTCTGGCTCCGCAGGTGCGGTGAGGCCGGCGCCGCCTACGTCGACCGCCTGGCGGCGCTGCTGGGCGACGGCGACTGCCGCGTCCGGGCGCGCGCGTGCGAGTCGCTCGGGCGGCTGCTCGCCGGGGCGGGCGAGGGCGAGCGGCGGGAGGGTGCGGCACGGCTCGCGGGGGGGCTGGAGGACCTCGGGGGGGCAGCGCTCCCAGACCTCAAGCCGTGGCGACGCGTCCTGGCTTGCCTAGAAGAGCCGGACTGCTTCTTCCGGGCCGAACGAAAGGGGGGAAATAGGGAAAGGGGGGGGTACGAAATCTGCTGCATGCAGCTGGTTTCGGCCCCGCCGCCGGGCCCACTCCTCGATACATGGGCGCCTGGAGGCGCCGGGAAAATCAGCTACGTGAGCTGATTATCACCCCCCCCCTTTTGCTATCCCCCCCTTTCGCCCGGCCCGATTCTTGAGAGTCGGCGACGACGTCGGAGTGGCGTGGTGTATACTTGTTGTTCCCCTTTTCCCCGGGGAGAACGACAACTGTATACGCCAGGGCCCCGTGTACACCAGGATCCGCTCTCCTGGCTGCAGATTGCAGCACAGGGCCGGACAAAGCGTCTTTAGTGGAGAGTTCGTTGCCCTATCAGGGGCAACGTCCCCAGACCTCCTCGGGCCATGCAGAAAGTCACGATGGACGGCCTGCTGCCATTTTCGGCCTCGGGGGGGCCCTCGCTGGGCCCCAGGACCGTCACAAAGCTGAGCAGGTCAAGAGCAGGTCCCAGGGAAGAGGTCCTGGGGGCCCACGTCATGAAGAAAGCGCGACGTCGGGGGTCTGGGCAAAGGGGAGGGTCGGCGCAGGGGGGCGCACATCGACCCCCCAGTCGCCCCTGCATCGCCCACAGGGTCCCGATAGCCCGCCCCCGCCCAGGAGCGTGCGGCGTCCCCGTCGGGGGCCCGTCGCCGATCCATCGGCGATATACCGTCGACTCGAGCTCGGTGCTTCAACCCCTGAGCCACTTCCCACTGCACCGCCCTGCAGGACGAGGACCTGGCCGTCCGGTGCGCTGCGGCGGAGGCGATCTGCCGGACGTCGGAGAAGAAATTCTTCGGCACAGCTCCTTCCTCCTCCTCCTCCTCCTCCTCCTCCTCCTCCTCCTCCTTCCTCCTCCTCCTCCTCCCCCTCCTCCTCCTCCTCCCCCTCCTACTCCCTCAGTGCGGGCCTCTCATGTGCTGGATGGGTCTTCTGCCGCTGTCGTCGGCTCTCGGCGGTTCTCCAGCCTCGGGATCCCAGACATGCTCGCGTCGTGAAAAAATCAGGACGGGAGGTTTCTGGTGATTTTCCGCCTCAGGGGGCCCTCGCCGGGCCTCGGGACTGTCAACAAAAAGACTCAGGACGAAAAACTGGTCACGGGGAAAGGGTCGGGACTTCCGGGGTCGCCGTCCTGAAAAAATCAGAACGTCGCATGTCTGGGGTGATCTGCAGCAGCTGCGCCTCGCCGACAGCGTTCTGGGGGTGGCCGGCCCGTCCCGAACGGCCGCCGGAGTGCCGAGCTATGACAAGACAACCACCGCGTGCTCGGCGCCAGCCCAGAAGATCCACGCGGGCCTCCGGACGTCTGTGCTCGTGCAGTTGTTCTTCTCCAGGATGGGCGTGGACTCCATGGCCCCGTACGCGGTCGGCCTGGTCCGGGTGGTCGAGAACAGCTCCGTCGGCTACGACGTCACCGCGGTCGTTGGCGGCGCGCACAAGGGGGCGTTGGGAGGGGGGCGGCCTTCTGCGAAGGCAGGGAGGCTTCTTGAGAAGGCAGGGGGGCTTCTCAGAGGCCCTCCCGGCTTAGGCGCCTTCTTCGAAGCCCCTGGCCTCGCCAGGAGGGGCCCTGCCTCTCAAGGGCCCCCCCCCGGCTTTTCTCTTCCCTCGGAATGCCGCCCCATTGCCGCCCCCCCCCGCGCCCTGGTTTGGCACCGCCGAGGTCGACGCCCGCCTCGCGGAGCTCCTCGCCAGGGAGCTCGGCGTGGCGTTCCCGCACCCCCTGGCCTTTCTGCCCAAGGTCGGGCGGGGCCAGGACCGGGGTAACATCGTTCCAGAGTTCGGGGGAGAATCGACATGGGTACGGAAAGAGTGGGCACGATGCCCACCAGCAGTTCCTTGTTCATGTTGAGCAGGACTCGCTGTCCGCGCCGCCGCGGACGTTAATCACGGAAGACGACCAGCCGCCTGCCCAACGACGGCCGCTGTCTGCGTTGGACACCACCTGTGGTTGGGCGCTGTGCGCATCCTTGTTTGTCCGTGCCCACTTCTGATGGGCCTGTTTTCCACCACCACCACCATAAGTTGGAGGGGGAAGGAGGAGAAGGAGGAGGAGGAGGAGGAGGAGGAGGAGGAGGAGGAGGACCCCCTCCCCCTCTAACTTATAGTGGTGGTGGTGGAAAACAGGCCCATCAACTTCGGGCGTCCGCGTGCCGGGACGGCCTCGGAGCGTTCCGGGAAGCCCTGGGAAGGCCGCGCGCGCCCGACCCAACGGTCCAGGGCCGCCGGATCTCAGAGAGATCCCCCGACATCCTCCGATGTTCGGGGCTGGACAGAACCCCCAACAGTGACACGTCGATTAGTGAGTTGTCCGTTTTCGGCTCTCGAGAGGGCGCCGTGGCCGTTATTTTCCAGGCTTGCGCCCGCCGGGTTTGGGCCCGAGGTCGTTTTCACTAAACCACGTTTTGCTAAAGGGGGTTCTGTCCATCCCCGAGATGTGTGTGTGTGGTTTTTTCCCAGCCGCGGCCGCAGAGGTCCCGACGGGGTAGTGCTGCACCCCAGAGGCCCCAGAGGCCGAGGTGGATGAGCTTCGCCAGTGTGGAAGAACTCGTCGGAGATCTGGGCATCCGATGTATCCCTGTCCGATGTCCGATGCTGTCCCTGTCCTGGCTACGTATGACAAGGCCTTCGCCGGGGACGACCTCTTCCCGCTCGCGGCCGAGGCCGAGGTCCCCGGCAAGCTGGGGTGCGTGCTGTCCGTGCTCCACGCGGCTCGCTGGGCACCGCTTCTGAGCTCGGGGGACAGCTGGTGGACTACGAGAGCGCGCCCGCTGCAGGAGGCCTACATCAAAGGCGCCAAGGACCACGGGGGGCAACGATTCGAGGAAGAGAAGCAACTGCATCAGTAAACATGATGCCGGAGAAAAGCCCCAATCCGAGTATTTTTAGGGCTATGGGGCTCTAGGGCTGTAGGGCCATAGGGCTATAGGTCGATAGGGCTATAGAGCTACAGGGCTATATGGCCATACGGCTATAGGGCTGTAGGGCTAGAGGGCTATAGGGCTATGGGGCTATGGGGCTATAGGGCTATATGGCTATAGGTCTATAGGGCTATATGGCTATAGCTCTATAGGGCTATGGGGCTATAGCGCTATAAGACCATGGGGCTATTTGGGCTATAGGACCATAGGGCTATAGGGCTGTAGAGCTATAGGGCTGTAGGGCTATAGGGCTAGATGGCTATAGGGCGATTGGGCTATATGGCTATAGGGCTATGAAGCTATAGGGCTTTAAGGCTATGGGGCTATAGGGCTACAGGGTTATAGAGCTATATGGTGATAGGGCTGTAGGGCCATAGGGCTACAAGGCTATAAGGCTATAGGGCGGGTTATTGGGCTGTAGGGCTATAGGGAGTACAGGGCTATATGGCTGTAGGGTTATAGGGCTGTAGGGCTATAGGGTGAGAAGGCACCCGGGGACCCAGGAACCCGGGCACCTGGGCACCTGGGCACCCGGGCACACGGGCACCCATGCGTCCGGGCTTTTGGGCATTCGGGCTCCGGGGCGTGCCGCCGAAATCGGCGGCGCATCTAACCTAACCATATGAATCCGCTAGGACCCCTACAGAGGCAAGTTTTGATTGGGGAATAAGCTGTCGGAGTCCCGCGCGGAGTTCTTGGATCAGCGCTTGGTTCCTTGGGCGGCGCCTCTGGCGCCGCCCCTGGCGCGCTCCGCGCGCCAGGGAGGAGGGCCCAGCGCAGATCCAAGAAGTCCGCGCGGATCTCCGAACATTTAAGTGAATTCAGGTTTTCTTCTTCTCAACTTCCTGGTTGGGTGGGCTCCGTGGGAGGGGGAAGCATTGACCCCGAAACGCTGATTCATCGCATAGCCCAAACCCGTCCAGGGACGCGCGGTTTGCCTACCGAGAGCTTATCGAGGATCTGTCGGCAATACTTATATATATTTATATATATATACAAGATTTTAAGGCTCGCTGCGCTTCGCCTTCTAATCTTGATCCTTGCACCTACGATGTTTCTGGGCGCGGGCGAGAACACAATTGTTCAATGAGGTGTGTGGGAATTGTGCGAGCGGAGGCGAGGCGAGGCGAGTGCGCGGTAGCGCCCGGGGCGGGGCTCAGGGCGCAGAGTTGGTGGACGCTGGAGTGGAGGTGAAGGTGGAAAGTCGGATGCCGGACGCTAGAGGTCGGAGTGCTGAGCTGATGGAGGCTGGAAGTCTATAGGTGGAAGTCCCACCGGCCCTTTAGGGCTACGGTGTTATAACGAGTTTGGTTTTCTCTCTTCCCCTTCCTTCCCCTGCTCGGGGGAGGGGTAACCTTCCCCTGGGCCTGGAGGGGGGGGGGGGATGGAGGCGTTAGAGCGTCCAAGATGGCTCAAGATGGCTCCAAGAGGCGCTCCAAGTCGCAAGATGGCCTCCAAGATGGCCCAAGATACCTCAAGATGGGTCAAGATAGCCTCCGACACACCTCCAAGAGTCCTCAAGACGGATCCACGTGCCCTTCGAGCCCTCCACGGCGCCCTCCAAGAAGCCAAAACCCTTCAAAAGCCTAAGGAAAGTCAATGTGTTTGGCATTCTCGTCTTTTCGCTTCCGATGGGCCCCTGAGGCATCAAGATGGCCCCAAGATGGCCCAAGAGAGCCCCAAGAGGGGCCCAAGGAAGGCCCAAGACGGCCCCAAGATCGCCCAAGAGGCTTCCAAAGAGCGCTCCAACACGTCCCCAAGACGCCGTTTGAGAGCCTCCGAGGGGGGGACCTGAACTGAGGACCCCCGCTCTTTTTGAACAATGGGGCCCAAGACGGGCCCGAGAGGCCTCCCAGCCTCTCCTGAAGATTCTCCACCCCGCCCTTTTTGGCCCAAGATGGCTCCAAGAGAGCCCTAGATAGCCCAAGATGGCCTCCAAAATGGCCCAAGATAGCCAAGCATGGCTCAAGATAGAGCCTCCGACAGATCTCCAAGAGGCCTCAAGACAGCCTGAATATGGCCCAACATAGCCGAGCATGGCTCATAATAGCTTCCGACAGCCTCTAGCCGAGCATGGCTCAGGATAGCCTCCAAGAGGCCTCGGGAAAGCTGGCACTCAATTCTGGACGGGCCGGTGGGGATACGCGAAGCGTCAAGAATTGAGAGGAAAGTCGGCGGCCGCATGCTGGAGGACGGGATGCTGACCTGGTAGAGGCTGGGAGTCCCGCGAGCGAAGCGGCAACACGATTTTGAATGAGAGATGTGGCCGGCGCCTCGGCGAGAGCACGGGTCCCAGTGAAAGCTGTCTTCTGTTTCCGCCGTTTGCCCTCCCCTCCTCCTGCTCCTCCGTGCCCTCCTTCCGTCTTCCTGGGGCCCCTCCTGTTTCTCGCAATCCTCACCGTTCCTTCCTCTTCCTCCTTTTTCTCCTCCGTCCCGCCTCCTGCTCCTTTTCCTTCTCTGCCACGCGGGCCCATTCGGCGCGCGGGCCAGCCGAGCCAAGGACGACGGCGACGATGACAACGACGACGGCGGCGACGACGACTCTCTGAAAAACTTGACCTCCGAACCTGTCCACGATGCGTTCTGACCATCAGTTTCACGAGAACCCGGCCGCGGCGACGGGGGAAAGTCCCAGAGTCTTAGAAAAACAGCAAACAGTTTTTGTTATTACAAAACAGAAGAACTCAGAAGGCGTGCGGGCGGGTGGAGGGGCGCGACAGAGAGGCACAGAGAGAGAGAGAGAGAGAGAGCGAGAGAGAGAGAGAGAGAGAGAGAGAGAGCGCGCGGAGGAGGAGGAGGAGGTGGAGGAGGACGAGGAGGAGGAGGAGGAGGAAATGGACAGCAGTGTCGGCATATCTTCTGGTTGCGGGCGTGCCATCTGGGAGCAAAATCGCCCAGCGGTAATGCTTCTCCGCATCGAACACAGACACAAAATGAAGCTGGCTGCGCAACACATGCCTTGCACATTCTCTCGGTTTTGTGTCGGTGTCGAACTGCGAAGTCCTCGGGGGCGAGCTCCTCGTGACAGCGAGTACACGGCAAGGCCACCGCAGGTTTGTTTTGGAGGGCGGCGCATGCGTTGCAAGTCTTTGTGGCTTTGTGTAGCTGAGTGGGTGTGAAAGAGTGGCGCGGAAGGTCGGTCGTGCACACCGAGCACGTGAAAGATGCCCGTGTGGCGCATTCTTTGCAAGTCTTCGTGGCTTTGTTTAGCTGGTTAGGTGTGAACGAGTCGCGCGGCAGGTCGGCCTCGCAGACAGAGCACGCAAAGCATGCTGCCCGCTTGGGGCCCATGGCGCAAAGCAAATGATCACGGCGTACATATGCCCATCCCAAGAATGGGAGATCTACGCACTTCGAGCCAACGCGTCGGAGTGTACTGAAAATGAAGCAACATGGTGGAGGGGAAGCGGGAGAAGGGGAGGATGTGGAGGACGAGGTGAGAGGAGCTTGAAGGAAAACTGAGCATCATAGTTTAGTGCCCGGGCTCTCTGAAGGAAGAGTATAAGAAGTCGGTGAGGGGGGAGAGAGGAGAGGAGGAGGAGGAGGAGGAGGAGGAGGACCAGCAGAGTGCGGCGGGGGAGAAAGGTGGACAGAGGGAGGAGAAGGAGGACGAGGAGAGGGAGAAACAGGAGACAAAGGAGGTGGGCTCCCGAGACGAGAGGGAAACTGCGCATCAAATTGTGGTTCCCCAGACCCTTCAAGCCTGTCGTGGGATCTCTTTGGGGCCCCCGAGGTGTGTCTTGTGGCGCCTTGGTGTCTTTGGGGAGCTTGGATATGAGTCTCAGATCTGGGGCCCTTCAGAAGGCAACGGAGAAGCAAGACAGCGAACTACAGGAGAGAGAGGAGCAGGAGGAGGAATAGCAAGAGGAAGCCTGGTCGTAGGCCCGTGGTGGGGTCTTCTTGGACCGTCCAGGAGTCTCGTGGGTTCTTCAGGTGAGCTGGTGATAGCAGTCTCGGGTCTGGGGTATGTTTTAGTTCTCGCGAGTGTTCCGTGGGCTTCTGAGACGGAAGGAGAACTGCGCATCAAATTGTGGTTCCCCAGACCCTGGAAGTCTGTTTTGGGATCTCTTTGGGGCCCCCGAGGTGTGTCTTGTGGCGCCTTGGTGTTTTTGGGGAGCTTGGGTATGAGTCTCAGATCTGGGGCCCTTCAGAAGGCAGCGCAGAAGGAAGACAGCGAACTACAGGAGAGAGAGGAGCAGGAGGAGGAAGAGCAAGAGGAAGCCTTGTCGCAGGCCCGTGGTGGGGTCTTCTTGGGCCGTCCAGGAGTCTCGTGGGTTCTTCAGGGGAGCTGGTGATAGCAGTCAGTCTGGGGTCTGGGGTATGTTTTAGTTTTCGCGAGTGTTTTGTGGGCTTCTGAGACGAAAGGAGAACTGCGCATCAAATTGTGGTTCCCCAGACCTTGGAAGCCTGTCGTGGGATCTCTTTGGGGCCCCCAAGGTGTGTCCTGTGGCGCCTTGGTGTCTTTGGTGAGCTTGGATATGAGTCTCAGATCTGGGGCCCTTCAGAAGGCAGCGGAGAAGGAAGACAGCGAACTACAGGAGAGAGAGGAGCAGGAGGAGGAAGAGCAAGAGGAAGCCTTGTCGTAGGCCCGTGGTGGGGTCTTCTTGGACCGTCCAGGAGTCTCGTGGGTTCTTCAGGGGAGCTGGTGATAGCAGTCTGGGGTCTGGGGTATGTTTTAGTTCTCGCGAGTGTTCCGTGGGCTCCTGAGACGGAAGGAGAACTACGCATCAAATTGTGGTTCCCCAGACCCTGGAAGCCTGTCGTGGGATCTCTTTGGGGCCCCCGAGGTGTGTCCTGTGGCGCCTTGGTGTCTTTGGGGAGCTTGGATATGAGTCTCAGATCTGGGGCCCTTCAGAAGGCAGCGGAGAAGGAAGACAGCGAACTACAGGAGAGAGAGAGGAGCAGGAGGAGGAGGAGCAAGAGGAAGCCTTGTCGTAGGCCCGTGGTGGGGTCTTCTTGGACCGCCCAGGAGTCTCGTGGGTTCTTCAGGGGAGCTGGTGATAGCAGTCTGGGGTCTGGGGTATGTTTTAGTTTTCCAGAGAGTTCCGTGGGCTCCTGAGACGAAAGGAGAACTGCGCATCAAATTGTGGTTCCCCGGACCCTGGAAGCCTGTCGTGGGATCTCTTTGGGGCCCCCGAGGTGTGTCTTGTGGCGCCTTGGTGTCTTTGTTGAGCTTGGATATGAGTCTCAGATCTGGGGCCCTTCAGAAGGCAGCGGAGAAGGAAGACAGCGAACTACAGGAGAGAGAGGAGCAGGAGGAGGAAGAGCAAGAGGAAGCCTTGTCGTAGGCCCGTGGTGGGGTTTTCTTGGACCGCCCAGGAGTCTCGTGAGTTCTTCAGGGGAGCTGGTGATAGCAACCTGGGGTCTGGGGTATGTTTTAGTTCTCGCGAGTGTTCCGTGGGCTCCTGAGACGAAAGGAGAACTGCGCATCAAATTGTGGTTCCCCGGACCCTGGAAGCCTGTCGTGGGCCCTCTTCGGAGCCCCCTTGGTCTGTCTTGGCACCCCTGGTTGCTTTTGGGGAGCTTGTGATAAGAGTATGTGGTCTGGGGCTTTTGACGAGGCAGCGGAGGAGGAAGACAACGAACTACAGGAGGAGCAAGAGGAGCAGGAGGATAAAAAGCCGGAGGAGGAGGAGCAGCAGAAGGAGGTTGGGAGGAGATTTCCGAAGAGTTGGTGTCGAGAGTTAGGTTGGAACCTTCTTGGACTTTCTTGGGGATGTCTTCAGAGCCTCGAAGGAGGAGATTTCCGAAGAGTTGGTGTCGAGAGTTAGGTTGGAACCTTCTTGGACTTTCTTGGGGATGTCTTCAGAGCCTCGAAGGAGCAGCTGGAGGAGGATCAGGAGAAAACCTCCTGAGAAAATGAGTATCAGTTTTCGTATCCCGGAGTCGGTGGAGGCAAATGAGGAGAGGGCGATGGAGGAGGAGGAGGAGGACGAGGAGGAGGAGGAAGGCGACGAGTTCGAGGGAAGAAGGAGGTTGAGGAGGGGATGAGGGGCAGAGAGGGGGAAACGGAGGAGGAGGAGGTAGAGAAGGACGAGAGATGGGCTGTCGGACGTCCGAGTAGGTCATGCCGAGAGTTATCTTGGAACCCTCTTGGGCTCTAGTGGGGATGTCTGCAGGGCCTCATGTGCCGTCTTGGGGCGAGGTTGAGAAGAACTAGGGGCGATGGGGGGGGCCGCTCAGGTCAATCAGAGTGTAAAGAATTTGACGGCTCTAAGACTGAGTGGAGCTCCTGTTGGTGCTTTTGTATACCATCGGAGGGCCTTCTTGGGCTGTCCTGGGGCCCTCGTGGGCTGTCTGGGGGGGCTTGGGCCGTCCTGGGGCCGTGTTGGGGCTCTCTCGGGCCCTCTCTGAAGCATCCCGTGACTCTGTTGGAGCCCTCTTGGGGGTCTTTTAGGGGTCTCTTGGGCGCTCCCTGGCTTTCTTTGCGCTTTATTGACCCATCTTGGGGCCCCATTGGGCCGCCTGGAAGCCATTTCGGGGCGACCTCGGAAGCTCGCAGATCATTATTGGGCCGTTCGTGGCCAGAAAAGGCGAGAAGCACACAATCGTTCAAACATAAATGGAAGATTAAGGTTTTTGGCCTGCTGAGGCCGTGTTGGAGGTCTTTGCGGGGGCATCCTGGACAGTCTTGAGCCCATGTTTGGTCCTGTTGGAGCACTATGGGGCCGTCTTGGGGCCTCTTGGGCCTTGCAGAGGACGTCTCGGAAGTGCCTTCTGCTGTCTTGGGCTCCCGATGTAGGCCTCGTGTCGCTCTCTTCGGGGTATTTTGGGCCGTCTCGAAGCATTGTGGGGCTCTCTTGGGAGCCTGTGGGGTTCATCTGGGGTCCATGTGGGGGGGGGTGTCGGTGACATGCCGGGTTTTTCCTTGTAATTTGATAGGTAGAAGGAATATATATATATATTATATATATATATATATATTATATATATATATATATCTATATATATATATATATATATATCGCCTGTTCCATGTCGGTGCCCTCACCCCCAACGCCAGCCCACCCTCAGATCACGGGGTGAGCTCGCAGCCTAAATGTAAACGTTGAGAGGCTCTCCGATATCCTCGTGCTAGTCACCCTCCACCCCCCGCCGTTGACATTCGGTGGTGTATCTCCCACGTCAGGAGCGCGCTTCCCCGGCGTACCTGAAGCAGGTGGACCGCGTCCTGGAGGATTTTGAGAGGAGCGAGAAGACTGGTACGCCTCAGCCCTTGACCGACGCCATCGAAGCTTCCTTGGCTCGGAGCTTCGGGCCGTGATCTCCCGGGGAGCTGAACCAGGCGCCTCTGGATACCCAGACGCTCGCGGTACCGCGAACGTATACGGCAGGCAGACGGCGCCGCGGGGCGGCGATGGCTCGATGCGTACGCATGTGATTCCGACGCTGCCTTGCCTGAGTCCTCGCGCGAATTTGAGCGCGGTTCTGCACCAGTCGCCCGGAGATCGAAATGCGCTTCCTCCTCGCTCTCATCCCTTCCCCCTCCTCCCTCCCTCCTCTCTCCTCCTCCCCCTCCCGCGAGGACTCTCTCACCAAGTCGCCACAATGCTCTACCAATCACTATGATCACTGAGTCGCCGCAGCCTCCTGCCGGCCGCCAGAGGGAGGAGGGAGGAGACGGGCGGAGGGCCGTCGAGGCAGGAGGGGGGAGAGGAGGAGGGAGACGGCAGGGAGCATGGGCGCGAGGGGCACGGAAGTGGAAGCTATGGCATGGCGGAGTAGGGAGCGGGGAGAGGGAACGGATGAGGGAGGGGGGGAGGAGCAGGAGAGCGTGGAGGAGCGAGGAGGGGCGAGGAATGAAGGACGCAAGAGGGAGTGATGAGGGCGGGTGACGGATGGAGGTGGGAGGAGGGACGGGCGCCTGTCTTCCGCCCCCTCCACCCTCCGTTCTCTCGCCTCCCGTCTCCCTTCCAGCTCCCCCCCATTGTCCCTCAACCATCCACCTCTTTCCTCCACCCTCCCCTCCTCCTCCCTGTCTTCTCTCCTCCCCTTCTCCTCCTCGCCTCCCCATGTTTTTTTCCTCGCCACCCTCTCTTTCCCTCTTCCCTTGCTTCTTTCGGCCCTTCCTCTCCCTCGTCCCTTCCCATGTCGTGCCTCCTGGAAGGATGGTAGGGGGGCCGGGGGGAGCAGAAGGGGGGCAGCCGTTGCTTGCTCGGGGTGGGGCCACTGGCGGGCCCCACGCGCGGGCGGCGGCAGCGCGCTGCGCCCGCCCATGCAGCGGGAGGGGCCACCCCCACATGCCTCCCTGGTGGCGGCGGCCTCCGGTGGCGCCCGCGGCAGGCGCTGCAACGGCGGAGGCGCCGCAGGACGGCCAAGCGACCAGAGCTTGCCTGGCACAGCCGCGCCGGGTGACTACGTGGACAGGCTGAACGGCTGCTGCGCGTGGAGGGCGCGCGCCACCTCCTCAAGCAGCACCACCGTTCTGGAAGAGTGGCAGGCAGACGGGCTGGCACGAGCTGTGGGGCCTCGAACAGTAAGGGCGACGGGCACTGCATGCCCGAGAGGAGTCACGTGACCGCAGGAATCATAGAGTAGGAAAGTTGAGGTCGACACACTGAAAGCAGAGTCCACAGGGATTGCGGCAACTGCTATGCAGTGTACCAGGCAGGATGCGCCTAGACGCATCGCAAGTTCGAGTTGCCGCTGTTCGGCAAGAACTTGCAGAGATGGGTAGATGCATTGCACGATCAAGAGACGGAGGTCGGGGAGGTCACTGTGAAGGGAAAGCGGGCGTCACTGTGCATGGCATATCAGGGAATGCCGCTGTCGGTAATGAAGTACGTGGCATGGCAGGCCAATGCACCTGCAGCGAGAGAGAAGGAGGCCCAGGCGGCCACCAACCGATCTGAGGAACGTCTTCGTGAGCTAACGCGCCAGTAACATGTCATCGACGGTGACAATGTTCGGGAGCAGTTCACAAAACATGTATATCGGGATGACTTGCTGAAAGGAGGTTGCTATTGATGGAAAGACGGAGCAAACCAGGCGAGGATACCACTTCGAATGATGATGAGGGCCATTGCCGCCGAAGGGCATTCGCGAAGCAGTTGCGGCAGCAAACAGGATCGGCCCGTTCATCCAGGAGGGCGGCGCGGAATGTGTCGGCACGAGAAGTTGCGGTTCGTGCTGATCGTGACAGGTATCACTCGAGACATCCGCCCCCGCCTCCCCCCACCACAGCTGCATCTGCCAGTGTATCTTGCACCTCGCTCCTCAAGCGCCAGCAGCTCTGCCGCCGAGAGGGATGTCCACACCGCCGCCTGCTGCCGCGCCGATGGCTCCTGCAACTCCTCGTGCAGGTACTTCGCTTCCCGCGCGTGTGCAGGCCAGTTTGGGTACACAGGCTACGCCGACCACTGGCAGATCCACTTACGACGGATCGGTCAAGACGGAGGGACTTGCAAACTCGCGCACTATCGTTGTGCCGAGTCCGACTAAACCAGCACGTCCACCCACGCCGCAGCCACGGAGCGGATACACATGGAGTAGGTGATAGCAACTGTGGAACAGCAGGCAGTGCTCTTATGTAAAAGCGCCAGGAAGTTGGATATTGGTATGCACGACAGGGCGACGGCTAGGATGGAGAACTTTGAGATGCACGTCGGCACGATGATGTCGAAGAGTACTTAACAGCATCAGCCCCACGGTTCAAGAGGAGGAGCATTAGGCAGTCCTACGGTTGGCGGAAAACCAACTTACTGAAGTATGGGCATCATCTATCAACGCGCATGACTCCATCGTCAAAATTACAGGGCCACGGAAGGGATTAGGAAATAGGACATGGAAGTTGTGCAGCTGTATTTCGAGGCTGAACACCCTACAGCGGGGGAGGCCTTTCCCGAAAGGCAGAAAAAGAGATTATGGTGTAGAGTGGTGCAGGATGTTCGTGGCTCAGAATATGAGGATGTGCAAAAGGAGAGGTACAGCCGCACACCACCGAAATCTGGAGGCGCAGCATCTTCACCGACTTCCAAGCTGCACAGCTTGAACTGGGAAAGATATGTTTTCTCGAGGAGGGCGAAGCGGCTGTGGCTGAGTGTTGTGATCGGCAGGCGTTGTATGAAGAATCTGCGCAGGTGGACCCCTACATGGAGATGGGTGCGGAGATGCATCAGGCGTTGCCAGACTTCGGGATGGAGTTCCATCGGCAGAGAGACCCGGAGATAAAGGATTCCGACGCTTACGAGGCGTGGAGGGAATATCGTGACAGAATTGGAATTGTCACACCATCGTCACTCGTCGTCCCTGTCGCCTGCAATGTACGGTGGAGTTTCGAATGACCAGGCTGCAGTACGCCACTCGTTACAAGCTGTCGCACTACCGGCATCAGAACACACGCGTTGCCGGCCAAGCGAGCTGCAGTTGGAATGAGCTAAGATAGGTAGAGCCGGCATGGAGGAACATCGCCACATCATGGAGAAGAAGTTTGGGTAATTTGGGCAATTTGGGCAAGTTGAGAAATTGAGCATGTTGAACAATTTCTGAGTTTTGAGCACTTCGGGTAATTTGAACCGTTCCTCCGATAGCATTCTTCAAGATTTCCAGGCCTGGACTTGGATTACTGTTGAAGAAAACGCACACGGTGGGGCTAGTCTTTACACGCTAGATTACTCTTAATTCTAAGCGGGGGTGAATGCCAGTTCCCTGGATCTCGCTTGGTGGTGGCGCTTTCTTTCGTTGCCACCCGTTTCATCTTGCTCGCAGACTTGCGAGTGGGGACATGTGGCCGTGGCTTTTCGATCCGCTTCGTGTGGTCACGGGCTTCATCATCTGATTCATCCACGCCTTGTCTGTTACGTTTCTTGTTGCAAGCGCTGGTCTTCGCTTCGTTCCGAACTCCCTCATTTCACGGGTTTCCTTGTGTTGGGAAGCGCCTGCTTGACGATGTGCTCGCAGTTTCTAACGGCGCCGTGCTCTTCTTGCAGGCCCTGGGCATGGGGCGCGCGGAGGCGAAAGTTCTCGAGATGTCCCGCTGCGCCACCCGCATCCCCCCCCCAGGGAAAGAGTTTACCATTGTCTTGGTTGTTCCTCTTAACTCATGCTCTCTTTTCTGTCTCTCGGTCCTGCCGTTGCTGCGCTGCTTCTGCGACCGCCGAACTGGCCGCGGCAACCTTGGCAGTGGCGTCTACGGGCGTGAAACTTCGGTCACATCGCCCACTCGCTCTCCTAACCCACCTCGGTGAATTAGCAGAGGATTTGATGTGGGGGTGGCGGAGGGTGGTTCGGTCCATTTCGCTCGAGAACTGAGCGCGGAAGGCAGCTTGGCGCATTAGCAATCCAGCGGCGCCTGGAGTTGATTGCTTGCCCGCGCGCGGTTGCGGTCGTGCGCGGGCCCGCTGACGCCGCGGGCGGACCGCCCCCATGGCCTGGCAAAGAAAGAGAAGCAGGGCCACCAGAAACATTCCAAGGTGCATCAGCAATGCTGCAGTACACCCCGTCCCACGAGTCCGCCCATGCTGCATTCTACAATCCCGTCCCACACCTCCGCCCCGTTGGCCCCTGCATGGAGTCATACTCCTTGCGGGAAGCGCGCCCATTGAACGATGAGCGCTCCATAGGCCCGCAATCCAGAGGGGGTCTGTTTTGTTCGGTAGCAAATCATAGGAGCCTAAAATGCCTTCTCAATTCCGTCTTTAGCGTCGACTCGCGTCGATTAGCGTCCGACTCGCGTCGATCAGCGTCGATTTGGCGTCGGCCAGCGTCGATTCCGCGTCGACGAGCGTCTCCCATGAGTTGCCACCGCAGTTTTGAAGGACAGCGCCTTCCATCCTTCGACGGATGAGGACTGGGACCGGGTGGTTTGCACATCCTGGGGGGAGCCCAGCGACAGCCACGCTTGGAGAAAGGAACTCTTCCGCGCCCGTAGGAGATTGGGCGCCGCCCTCCTAGCCGTGCAGCTAATGCACAAGTTGATGGGGTGCTCCAAAAACGGCTTCGCCTTCGAGGATACAGTATTCGGCCTGGCCTACGGAACGATAAATATGGAACGAAGCCCCTCTTTGTTCCAAGCAAGTCCAGGAACTCCGAAGAAACACCAGGAGGGCTCGCCGCCAGAAAGGTAGCGGAACGCATGCAAACCAAAGGAAGGACCGAGCCCCTTTAGAAAAGTAAGCGTTACTTGTTCCAGCCGGGCCCTGCACCAGGAGCTGTCCTCGTCGTCCGCCGCGGCAGGCGGCGGAAGGTCAGCGGAGGTGAGACGAGGCGGCCTCCGCCGGCAGAAGCTCGGCGTTGAGGCGGCGGAGGTAGGCGGCGTGCCCCCAGTCGGAAACTGGAACGTACACATTACCAGTGGCGGGCGGTTTTCCAACCCCAGGATTTTTTGAGGGCCGGGGACGACGCTGGGGTGGTGTGGTGTATACTTTTTTCCTCGATGCCCCGGGGAAGCAACGGAACAGGTATACACCAGGGTCCCGTATACACCAGGCTCCGCTCTCCGGTGCAAATTTCAATGCAGGGCCGG